ATACTGTATTCCAAAACATTTGTAAATGCTTGAGTTGATTTATGAAATACTCAGCATTTTCTCATAGAAAAGATGCTACGCCTGAAAGAGTAAACGGATGAACAAATCAGAAAAGACTTGAACTTAATCCACTGAAAAATCCGAAAAAAAATATAAAGTTTAGTTCCGTTGCAAAACTACGGTCTACTTTTCATCGAGAACCTTTTAAAACCATTTAAAAAGCCAAAAGCCTTTACTAGTTTAATTTTTCTTCTTCAAGGCCAACAAAATGACTTTTTTACAAGACTGGCAGGTGATAATGATTAAAACCGAAAATTTTAATTGCGTTTTCTGGTACAGGACGTTGGCAAGAATTTGAAGGATTACAACCTGGAGGATCCGTTATTTCCACGGTTACTTCAGCGAAATTAGTTTTCAAAGATTTTAGCACAACATCAGCAACCTCAGTTAAAGAGGGCACAACAGTTTCCAATTTCACTGCCAAATCTCTCGAATGGTTCTCCATTACAGTTTTAGGTCAGTAACGAGTCGTCCTATAAAAAAGTACTAAAAACTTACCAAGGTATACATCCAGAAACAGGTTTACAGAAATAACGAACTTAAAAGCTGATACAACAATTTATCACTAAACATTCACGAAATCCATTTTCTGCACCTATACCGTCAAAAACTGTTGAATTTTGGATGGAGAAATAGATAATTTTAAGTATTAAAAATACTCCGCATAAATTTCCAAATTAATAAACGTTTCTGTCAACACATATACAAGTAAATTCTCTCAAACAGTTTCCAACACTCACATATCAATTTAAGACTAAGTGTGTCTGTGGATAGCAATAACGATAATATTTCTTCATATAACAATACGTTCGTAAAGAACACCGGAAGAAAAACAGTTTTTTATTAGTTCATCCATCAGGCTTAGACGCAGTTCTGAGCGAATAAGTGCATCAAATAGAAACAATTATAAAATCTATATATATATATATATATATATATATATATATATATATCAGAAGTATGGTCTTGTCAGTGGTGTCTCGATCTATATCACTGAAGAGTACCAATCCTTTGGAAGTCTCTAACACAAAATCAAGTGAAGCATTCAGTTCATATAGCACAAACTATAAAAATGAAAAAGACACATAAAAACAAGAACAACATTTGTTCTTCAGCACCTTCGCTACCAGAATGACAGAAATGATAGAGGTGAAGTTCAGATTCACAAGTGCCCAGAAACAGACGATTCTCACTGTCACGTACTTCACTGGTAAACCAGTAGCTGGTTGTATATAATTCGTTATACACATTAGTAACGTACCGAGCCAATGCTGAAATAAAATCGGCTGAATGGCAGAATGCCAACATTGTAATTTCCATTGGTATCATATCGACTGATGGCGATCATTTTTTTTGTGTCATTAGTTCAATCTTACGTTTGTTGATAAAGAGTTATCCGAGGAATGTGTTGAATGTTTCACTAAATCAATTAATTCTGCTTGTTTAATTTTTGTGCAGATAACTTTGTGGCTCAAAGTATGAGCAGATTTAGTTACTGTTTCAAAATAATAACGTATTTGTAGATCGCATATGACAGTCTTGAATAAAATCGAAAACGTTGTTCCAATTATTGCTGGT